AAATTTATTAACGAAGTAATTTCCTTGAAAAATGATCGGGTTTTTTAAATGAAACTTCTTTATCGACGTAAGAGAAATTTTATAGCAATGTAAAAAAAACCGTCACGATTTTCGGTTACGCGCCATGTTTTTTTTTTTTTAGCAAAGTTCAGTTTAGCGACGTAAAGAATAAATCTAGTAAACATTATTAATTCTAAAAGAAATTAAAAAAACAAATTAAATAATAATTTAAAAATAAAACAAAACATAATTAGAAAATAAAAATATGCATACGTACATTTTGCACACCTTATAAGCGAAGCGTTGAGGTTGTGCTCTACTTTCGACATTTCAAAAAAAAGCAGTTTTTTTTTAATTATTTGTTTTTAATGATTTATTTATTCATTTTTCAATTCTATAAAATCATTGCATATAATTATATTATTTTGAATAGACAATTACAATTATTTTTTCATAACTTGTGTAATTGAGTAAATTATTAAATATCTGCTTTGGAATAATTTTTACTAAGTTATAATATGAAATATGAATATTAAAGTTCGTTATATAACTTTTGTAAACTGATTAACTAATTTTTAGATTAAATAATGGCAGAGTCTAAAATAATCACAATCATTGTTATAATGGTGCGATCATAACTGATGAAATACAATAATTATAATAAGAGTAATGATAAAATAAATTACTTATATTATTTGTATGGATGTCTATGATACTAAAATAGCTTTAATTTAATAGGGAAAAATTTTTTTTCTTAAGCCTTATCTACCCAATTTCTGTGAAGTTGTAAACAGTGGAAAAATGATACGTCATAAAGAAGTTTCACTTCTTACCTGTGTACTCTGGTACACACACACACACACACACACATATTTTTATGTTTAATTTCTCTCAAAAACATCTATCACTTGGAGAAATAAAATAATTTGGACAAAGAAGATAAAAATAAAATAATCCAAGATTCTACTGTCGGTAGAGAAATTTTCCACTTTTCCATCTAACCCAACTCGTACAAAATTTCCTTCCAAAATAACAGAACACTCCTGAAAAATATCTAAAAAACGTGGTGTTTTCCCGGATGATGAGGCCAATCAATTCCGTGGTTGAAAGTAGGGATTTCGTGGGTCAACAGTTCCGAGGAATTCATCTCGAGATAAAGGAGCCGGATTCGAACAAAGAGCCGAGAATCTTCAGCATCACGGAAGAAAAAAGTGGATTACCGGTAGGCACCCTTTTGATGGTAGCGCACCGCGTCTTTCGGCCCTTGTCATTTTTTCCTTATTCGAAATTCCGCCCCCGTAGACCGTGGGGTCTCTCCCCCCGAGCTCACTGGGCACTTATCTCCCTAATGCCACAGCACGTTTCCTTTTTCTCCGGCTGTGTCCTGCGTTTATCTCCCCGTCAAATCCGAAAGACCGACGAGGGTTCTCACCACCCACGCGAACGATTTCCCACTCTCTTTGTGAGCCTAATCAACAACAGCCCCTATCTCTCTTCCACCCAGAACAAATCCCGCTCCAAACAATGCCCGGCTCACTTTTATCACTTTGTCTTGCTTTAACGTCCACAACCTGTCACTCATTATATCCTCGAGGTTTTGAATTTCATCTAGATAATTCTCATTCACTCTTCGATCAACCATTTGTTTAATTATCGCAATTCAAATTGAGGAAGATAAATTTTTCGGAGCTTTCCCCCTAAAAGGCTCGGGTTTGATTCCCGGCGGGGTAAAAAAAGTTTGTTTTTCTAGAAGGAAGAAATAGATTTAATTTAATTTAATTAATTAATTTAATTTAATTAATAATGACGAAATAATTAAGACTTAACCCAGTTCTTGGAGCCTGGTCGATGGTCGACAGCCGGATAACGTCAGTCTCTTCATGACGATTCATAAATGATTAACCTCCTCATTATCAATGCTAATCCAGGTGCTCTGGTTGCCGAATAGATCGGGATGGTGATAACAATTACTCGTTACCTCTGTACTCTATATTCAAGAATATATATCTGTATAAATATATATTATTGAGTTTGTAGGTGGGTATATAGGTATAGGTGCGGGTGCAAAATGACGGGTGGATATAGCATGGCGGTTAGAGAAGATAGTTACGGGATGAGTTATAATTGCCAGTCGTAACCGTGGTAGGAATAATGAGAGAGGCCAACGGGGGAGAGGGAGGATATGAGAATATTCACGATTTGTACGACGGATTATGCCAATATAATTATTACCTTGTGTACTGGCATACGATAGTTTAATTAGTAACTATTCTATTATAATCCCGAGACTGGATGGAGGATAATATTTTTCTTTTATTAAACCTTTATTTTTGGAAATATTTTAAGCTATATAAGTATTAGTTGTTACAATAGAAAGAAAATTAATTTATTGAAAGCAAAGAATAACTTTAAAAAAATTTGGGGCTTCGGAACCGAGCCGGGAATCGAACCCGGGTCATTCTGGTCACGCATCAGGAGCTCTAACACTTTCGCCACCTTATACATCTTGATTCTCAAGCAAGAAGTTGTTGCGTTGAATAAATTTTCTCTTCATCCTCTTTATTTTATTTTCTTGATTCTGTTTGTAAATTTTAATTATTTTATAAGAAATATAATATATTTTAAATAAATAATTAATGATACTAAAGTTAGCCGACGTTTTTAATTTTTTGATTTTATTTTTAATAATTGAATTAGAACAAAAAAATATTTTTTAAAAATTACACTTACAGTTTTTTAAGTTTTTTTATAAGTAAAAATTTTTTTTTTATTTTTTCGTAATCATTTTTTCAATAAAAAAAAATTCTAAAAATTTTTATATGTCAACTAACTTAATTTTCATAATAATTAAAATATTTTATAATTATCGATTGTAAACAATTGATACTTTGCAGCTCCAAAATTAGTTGATTAAGAAAAATCTTAAATAATATTGAATTAAATTCATATGATAATTAATAATTTTATATTTATACGGTATAGCTTAATTTTTACTCTAATAAAACCTATTTGATTGTTTTTAACATTTTTCTTCGATCATTTTTGCATTTTTTTTCTTTAAAATTTTTTTTATTATGTGCCAAAGAAATATAACTTCTAACGCATGTACATCAGTACACACACCATTTTTTTTTTTTTAATTATCTTAATATCAATCTACACACAGAAAAATATTCTAAATGGAATTGTAAAATAATCTAAAATCATTTTTTACTTAACTTTGTGTACTTTAATACAATTAAAATATATACTTTGCTATTTGTTCATTGCCCTGGCATTAAACTATAAATAAATAGATAATTATCCCGAACCAAAAGTGAAATTTTAATAACAACATAATTAATATATAATTTCTGATCCAAATTAAAAATAAAATAAAAGATTGACAATTAATCATAATAATTAACAAAATCAATTAACGCCAATTCAAATTCAAAGATTCTCAACAACTCGAACTGATCAATAAATTTATTAATTAACTAATTAAAATTGATTGTACAATAATATTAATGATTTCGCTCTAATAATTGATTGCATAATTTAATGAGAGTTTATATAATTAATATAATTATCAATATTAATTAGTATAAAATGAAAGAAAGATTTTTTCGTAAATAATTAGTACGAACAAATAAATATTTATTGTTATATACTTAATTGATACCGACGAATATGAAGCACCGAACAAAACTAGAATAGTTAAATAGAGCTGTCATGAATAAAATATAAAAACTATCACTGTATGTATGCATATTAAATTAAAAGATGTTAATAATTGCACGAGTAGACTATTTGGCAGCTATATTGAAGCACTAGATGACGTAAGCGAATCTCGGAGTGCTGATTCATCGAGAAGTTGATTCTTCTACCGACGAATGTCACCGAGGAGTATATTGAGAGGAAATGAGCGCGGGATAGGAAAAACCGCGGGAGAGAAAGAGATGTCTGAGCAGAGAAAAAACTGCCATGTAGATGTATATTTTTAGTGTATGTGTAGGTATATGTGTGTGTAGGTGGGAAGGAGAGAGCACTAGAGCCCTTTTGATCAACGAGATCCGCACTCCATTAATATAATGGCTTCGAGGAATGTTATATACTCTTAATGAGAGCGAGTTGGAAAATGCTTCAGCGTGCTCCCCAAGTACAGCGAAAAACATTTTCACGACTATTAGTACAAGGTCTTTAGGTCACATAAAGAGCTCTCATGACTCAGAAAATAAAACTCTCTTTTTTTCTCAGTTGCAATATAGCATTTACTAAAAATAAATCATTTCGTTTAATTAACTCACGTTATTAACTCATTTTAATCTTCTTTGGTTTTTTTCTCGTTTTCTTGTAAGCTATTCACTTTGAACTTGAGATTATATTACTCTAAGCTTTGTAAAATCTTATCATGGAATGTTAAAGACTTATAACACTTACAAAAAGTATTTGGTTCAAGAAAAATTTTCTGTTGAAAATTTTAATCTTATTTTGAGATATTTATTCGAAAAATTCATTAATTGAATCAAAAAAATAAAATTAACAAGTTAAAGAGAAAATTTTATCCATTGAAGAATTTTCATGAAAACTTATAAGTTAGAAGAAACTTACAGTTAACTTTATTTAATTTTCATTGAAGAAAAGCAACTGACAATGCGAATTTCAATAAAAACTGGGATGATTCTCAAGAATCAAGTCAAAAATTAAAATCCAGTTCCAAAGTCTACTGATAATAATTTCGACATATTTGCTGCCCTAAGAGTATCAAACAATGCAAAAATTGTTACAAATTATCTCTACACAAAATAACTACTTAATCACGAATTCCTCGACCACGAGCTAAAGATTCGTCAGGCTCCGATAAGACTTATTGTTGCGAAAAAAGAAACAACTGCGATTACCGAGTGCCGAACGTGACACTTTTAACTCACAAATATTTGTTATTTCAGTTCAGAATGTTTCTTTATTTGAATCGGGGTATAAAAAGGCGGCCTGGTGGCTAATGAGAGCAAGTATTCCTTCAACTTTCTTTCAAGACAGTAATTCCAAGTTCGATTATCATCATGGAGCTGAAGTTCATCATTTTGACTTTTGGAGTCGCATTGCCCTTTCTGCCATTCTGCCTTTCGGTATCTGCGGACGGAGAGTCCTGTACAACCAATGAAGATTGCGAGGATAGTTCAGTATGTATAGGAACTCCTAGCAAGTGTACATACTTATGTAACCCTGAAGATGACAAGTGCAAGGGAAAAACATGCATATGTAGTAACCACTTTCAATCATGTGATCTTTCGAAGAATTTTACAAAAGGTGAAGATTGTGTCCTCCATAAGGACTGTGCAGACAATTTAGCTTGTAACATGTTTACTTCTAAGTGCGTAAATCTATGTGAGGGCTATACTGATTGTAAAAGTGACGAAAAATGCTTTGTTATAAACCATTATTTAAAATGTCACCCGATCACTTCTTTCTGTCAAAACAACAACGACTGTGCAGATTGCTTGAAGTGTTCAGGAAGCATTTGTGTAAGTCCCTGCAAGGATCACAAATGCGCCACTGGTCAAAAATGCGTCGCTGTTGATCATAAAGCTACTTGTGCACAAACTGAAGCTCCTGTTGTTTCTGTTACTACTAGTACTACTGGTTAGTAAAAACTTTTTATTTATGTTTTAGCAACCAAATAGTGATAAATATGATGAAAAACTATCCTTTTTTAGAGCTTAAACCCTGTTCATGTCCCTGGTACGATCCTTTATGCTGGCTCGGTCTTGCCCCATGGACTTACTTCTGTTGAACCTAATAAAGTGGAGAATCCAACCATATTCATATCGCAAAGAAGAATTCTATATATTAAGCATATTTTAATCGCTACATTTCTAATTCGGGTTCCAGGAAATCTAATTTCAATGTTCTAATTAATGTAACATACATTATTACGCAATAAAGAGTTCAAAAAATGATTCATGAGCCGTACAATTATTTCCCAAGCTTCTTTCCACATGTCCAAAAATTTCCAATTCCAAAAGACCTTCACAACAGCAATTCACAAAGCACATTGATAAAAAGAACCGAAAAATTGCATAGATTCCGGGCAGAAATATAAAGTCATAATTAATAACGAAAGCAACAGCAAGAGGTGAACCGCCAACCGACCACTGACGGGTGACATTAATTTAATGACGTAAATAAAATATCGGGGAATGAATCCAATAAAAAAGCAACAAAGCCTCGGAAAAAAAGGTATCCTTTTAAATTTCAATAAAACGTCACTTGTCTGTCGTCGTTATAAATCATCCGAAGTGAGGCTAAGGCTGAAGCCGAAGAAACCCTAGATGGTCTATATATGCAGTGGATTGTCTGTGGGAGCACACACACAATGGGTCCATCAGTCGGACTGAGTACACCACCAAGAACCGGGAAGTATCAAGGACATCCTTGAGTGGTAGAAAGAAAAGAGAGACCCAGAATAAAGGAGTCGGAAGGAAGGAAGTAAAGTTGGTTTTACTTTTAGTTTAACTCTTGGTTCTTTTGGGAAAAAAAAAAAAAAAAAAAAAAAAAAAAAAAAAAATAGGATAGATTGTGGATGGTATGGGAATCCGATATCTTGGTCAGCGGATTCGCCTCACTTTTACTGTCTACACCAGCCAATTTCGAGGATTTTCTGCTCTGAATTTTCTGGTCAGTCCTCTCGGTATCCTTAACCCACATAAGGCGGGAAGAAAAAGAATAGTGATAATAATAATAATAATAATAATAATAATAATAATAATAATAATAATAATAAAAGCATTTGGAGAAGCAAGAGGGATCAAATCAAGAGACTTATGTGGTGAAAACACATGCGTGTGGCCATCAGCTGGACGGGATTTGGATTGACGAAGAGAAAAAGGAAAGGAGCTTCGTATTATGTTCTATTGAACCGAACGTGTCCAAACCCGAAATTGTTTATGTTTGCCGATAGAGAGGGTACACAGTCGGTTCGATAACGTATTGGGGACGTTAGGTAGTTCGGATAGAGAAGGGGTAAGTTTCCGTTATACACGTCCATCGGCGGGTGGAGTTTAAGGACCAGAGGAAGCAAACCAAGGGAAGTGCCTCGCCTAAGGCAATAAAGGATACGTATACATGCCACGAGGTTATAATCTCCCTTGGGTAACTTGCAAATTCAATTTGTCCACCGTAATTACATCAGAGCGATGAAATAATAATAATAGCAGGCTCTGCAAAAAATCAATCACGTTTTAAGAGTTTAAGGAATTTAAAGGTATTTATTTAATATAATAACCGAAGCCCGGATTTTTTTAAGTAATTACTCTCTCTCTTGAGTGAAAAGGTTTAATTATTACGGGAATTTGTTTTAATTAGTGATTGATCGTTCTATTGAGGCTTAATGAGGCTTCTTTTAAGGACGGGGTTTTTTGCGAGAACAGCTGGTGGAATTGTATTCAAATCTTGGAAAAATTATGAAATTTTTTTAATAAGTTCAAAGCAAAAGTGAAATTTAAAAAATAATATTTCTCTCGAAGCTCTCTAAAGGCTCACTTGAGCCAAGAAAATATTTCTCTTCCTAATTATTTTCTTGAGCGAAAAAAAAATTTTTTTTTAACACAACAAATTTCACTTATTCCAAGAAAATTAATTCTCTTGTTTTAAGAAATACGTATCTTGATCCAAGAAAATTTTTGTAAGTCAAGAAAATCTTATTTTGAGAAAATTCAGCTTCTTACTCCAAAAAATTTAGTTCTCGATAGAAGTTAATTTTTTTGTCTTGAGAAAATTTCTATCTTGCTCCAATAAATTAAATATCTCGATAGAAATAAATTTTCATTAATATTTTTATTGATTAACATGTCAAATGGGAAGATCAAATAATATTGAATCATTTTTTTTTTCATTCAATATGTATAATTGCACGCTAAAATAATATAAAATGGGTATCAAATATTCGAGAGAAAAATTTTCTCAAGGTGAGAAAATTTTTTTCTCAGCTGAAGTAGGTGGCGCTGCTTCCCTAAAGTATCTAAAAATCTTGATCAAACATAACAATTTATTGTATCAAGTATTTATGCCAATTTAAATTAAGAAAAAATTACTTCCACCAAGAATAGAATTTCAAGAAAAATTTTTACTTCGGCCAACACAATTTCAGTCTTCCTTAAGGCACCCGAAAATTTTCTTGAGCCAAGAATTTTATTCTCCAGTCAAGAAATTTATCTCTCTGTGTAAAAGGTGGCGAAATAAGTGTTAGAGCTCTTGACGCGTGACCAGAGATACCCGGGTTCGATTCCCGGCTTGTTTCCAAAGCTCCATATTTTTTCAAAGTCACTCTTTGCTTTCAATAAATTTTTTTTCAGTATATTTATAAAATATTTCATAATAATCTCCGTAAAAAAATAAAAAAAAAATGAAAAATTGAAACAATAATTGACACAATAAAATCAATGTTTTATTAACGAGACGTTAAAAGGTCGGCGTAATTTAAGCCCCGATAAAATGTAAATTCATTTGAAGTAAAGGAGTTTAAATTAATCGCCAAGAATTTCATTCTCCAGTCAAGAAATTTTTCTTTCTGTGTATGTATTCAATTATTTATTTATCTGATTGTTTGTAATTATCATTATAATTGTTATTAAATCGATAATATTTCTCTCGAATGAATTAATTTTGTTTTTTTAATGCATAAGTGGAGATTTAATAGATCCTAAAATTCCTCAGCAAATATAAAATTTTTCTCAATATTTTAAATTACCCATAACTTTAAAATAATAAAATTTAGGGGTCTTCTCAATCTTACGATAAAATTGTTTTTCCAAACTTAAATATTAATGACAAATAAAATAGTTTATCGTCCGGGCGACAGTAAACCCACTAATTAAAAAACAAACTTTTCAATGAGCTTTAAAATTAAAGGTCTCTTAAATAATTATTTGAAACCGCGAAAATATTCAAATGCAAGCCGTGGATATTTAAAATATTATAAAAAATAGTGAATTGGGCGTCTATTTAATTAAAACGATAGTTTTATCTCCGAGAAAATGGACCCTTCGCCCGAACAAAGTACAAGGCTAAGCCTGAAGGTATTAGACTAAAGTAATTTAGTTTATTGACGGATACATTTAGTGAACAGACGATGTGTTTTTATATTAATAGGCGCATAATAGTTGATAGGAAAATTTGATAGGGTCGGAGTGTCATTTGCAAAAGTGAATACTTGTTGAAATGACCTCTTTGGGGAATTTTTCACCGAGCGGTTATGCAGACAATGATAAAGGGTTAAGGCGGCAATTCCCTTAGGACAGAGCCGGATGTCGCTCGGTACGATAGAAACCATAAAATAACAAATTCCGGTAGTTATACTGGAGCTAAACCAGCAGAAACTGCCGTCGGTGTACTCCCATTGCTTTTACTTGACGCTTCGTTAAAGTGGATCGAGTCACGAAAGTCACTAAACGGTTTTAACGCGCCTCGTGATAACGTATCAACGAGCTGCGGAAATACTTGTGAGAACCGCATCGCGGAACTTCAGTAATGAGCATAATCGTCTTCTTCATTATACATATCATATACACGTCAAAGCGGCACTTTAAACTCTTTAACATATTTAAAAAAAAAAAAAAAAAAAAAAAAAAAAAAAAACAAATAATTCATAAAGTTACATTCACGCCAAAGTAGTTTTTATTATTTAAAATTTGTTTACGTTGGCTAATACTTGGTGCGATGTCGCATTTTCGTAAGTGCTTTTTGGCCTCCCGATATAACACACACGTTCTCCCAAATGACCAGTAAATTCCCACCGGTGTAGTAGTCGAGCCAGGGGGTTGCTGAAAAAAATTTATATACGCGTCAACCATGCCAAAGTTTTATTGCAAAGGGTATACATTGCGACACAATGATAATTTATTGTCCCCTAAAAATATCATATTCATAAATATACTATGCTTTATTACTTTATTTCAATATTTTAATTCATCAATTTGTTTTTATTTTTCATTTTTTAAATTAATAATATTACTAATTGTTTGGGACTTTTTTTTATTGAAAAATATAAATTTATAAATTTTTTTTTTTGGCATTAAGGGGCATTCCAATATTTCATTCTAATTTATTATTAAAAGTTTATATTTTATTAATTTGTAAAGAAAATTTTTTATAATCAATAAGAAAATCGATTTTTCTCTCCTAGTAACTTTTCAACCGTACTAACTTGTATCCGGGACAAATGTTGTTTTAATAATTTCAAGAACAAATTCATTTTATGTTTGTTATTAACTAACATATTTATTATTATGGTTTTAAGAGCAAATTTTTTTATGTTCTTTATTAATTAACACCTAAGTTTATTAAGATCGTATTGTCAGCATGCTAAATCCTTTATTTGTGTTTTTTAATTAGTTTTTTTTTGATTATTCTTTTTTACTGTGTATGGAATACCCCTTAAGTTAATTTTAAAGTTTTTAATATTGAAAAATCATCAACATTATAAAAAAATTTCAATTTTTTATTAAAAAAATACCATTTAGAAAACAATTTTTTTTACAGTCTTATTTTTTGACGAACTTTAAGAAAAAATAATATTTAATGACTCCAAAAAATGTTCTAAATTCCAAAAAGTGAAACTAAACAATTACACTGATAGTAGGATTTTTCTATAGTTAAAAATATTTTTTAATATTTAACGAATCATTTATTAGAGACCGCTTTTTAGTCTTTAACAAATATTTCTTAGTATTTAAAAAGATTTATTAATATTTAATAAATGAATATCAGATTTATTAAATACAAACAAATCATTTT